GTTCTACCGGTTGGTCTTACTAATTTTTCCCCGTTTTTATTCTTTTTTAATTTCAATTCATTCCAACCATTTACAACACCAACCCCAACTCACATAACATTCATTCTAAACAAAATACAGTTAATACGAGTTCACTTTACAAATTCTTTACATACAATGTCATGTCTAAAACTAAATAACATAATAGTTTTTACAAAACATGATTCAAAAGCCACATCTCAGTTTTTCTTCATCAATGAGGGTCTGTGTGAGAGCCATCCACGGGTGCATGCCCCGCACTTGAAATATTGTCCCCACAAAGGGTGAGTCACGCTCAATAGGGTATCTTCTAAAAAGGCTACTCTCCAACTTAGATGCATATGAAATGTTCACATGCAATTTCAATAAGCAACAAATAATTCATTCAAGAATATACAATTCAACAATGGATGTATCTATATCATGCCGTGATATGAGATGGGACTCATACATGCAACTCAACCCGAGCCCTTACTGATTTTATCAACACATGCAATGACAATTGTATGAATCTGGGCATTCCAAGCCCCCGCCGTTGATATTACACATCCAATGACTATTAAAATTCTCGGGTCTTTCTTGGGGTGGGTATTTATAAACTCGCGCCAATAGGCACCCAACCGATATAGTATTAATGGACTTCCACCAATGGCTCTGCGTATGCGGAGACACTTTATGGACTCTACACCAACAGAGTGCATATCCAATCACGGGGCTTTGCACCCAAGGGATATTCTAGCCCTTTTTGTTAACCCCGACCCTATTTTCAATATAAACCGTGCGACTCAGTTAAATCTCGGTCCAACTATCCCGAGCCCACATATCATCCAAAAATAATGATGTTTGATCAAATCATGCACACACACCCACATTCATGTCAACGTCCACAAATGTGATGTTACCCGTGCATATACAATGTAATTGTACAATTACATTTCATATCATTATACAACTAAGATCTCAATTGCAATTTTAACATCATGTTCTATATATCATATGCACATAATGAACAACATTGTATCTTATTCAACATTCTTAATTGTCAATTATATCAAAAGCATATAATTACAATTTACAACATCATTCAAGCATGTTATTCATATTTCATCAAAACTACATACTTCAATCATTCAAGACATTTTATCAAATACCCACATATATCATACTTCTCAAGAAATCACATCAAGTAATTTCTACATACCCAATTCAAACTCAAATTAATTTTAACCATTTTTAATACTCATTTCCCATATAAGTGTTATACATGAGATTACATTTCTAACACCCTACCTCTTGAAGCCTGCCTCTTGAAGCGTAGAAACAAGTTGTAGAAACTTTCAAAAACATAAACCAAGCTCAACCTTGATTTCCCACAAAATCTCATTTTTTTATCTTTGGTTAAATCCATAATTTTTGTTACATATTAGTAGCCCTCGTCGCGTAGAGGAACTTTAATTCGACCAAAGGAACGTCGTATATCGTAGAGAGAAATGGGAACTCTCTCTTTTTCTCTCTCTTCCCTTTTCAACGTAAAAATCCAACTGAAATGGAGAGAAAATATGATTTTATTCCCTATTTTTACCCTTTGGAATGCTTGGCCCTCGTCGCGCCACACATTCTTTATTTTCAGGTTCAATTTTGTCGCGAAATGATTAAATTTCGTCCCGATTTAAGTTTAAAATATTTTTATTTGAACTAATTTTAAATTATTTTTTAATTTTTAAAATTTAATTTCATATATCGTTTTTAGGTCACATGAAACCCGATCGCTCCGTAAAACATAAAAAATCTAACTGCCTTAGATTCTGATGAAAATTAACTGGATAATTAAATTTTACAAGACGAATCCAACGGTGAAATCCATTTCACCATCCGAGTTCAAGATAAATTCGAATTTTCAACCCGTACCGAAATAACAATTTACCGTTTTACTCTTTTTTATAAAAATTCAAATTTATCCAAATTTTACAAACCCAGACTCCTTTGACTGTGAATGTATGTGAACCACCTAGAAATTTTTATATGAGGCTGCATGTACAGCTATAATGTCAAGAGATACACCTCGTCCATTGACTCTTTCCACAAACCCACTACTGAAATATCCTTTTATTTATTTCTGATATCAATTTTGGGCGGCATCATCAAAAACATACTACGTGGGGTTGCTAATGCAACTCAAATAGGCCAAACCAAAGGAAACAAGGTCACTTGCTAACAGAATCCTGCAAATAAAAAGAAAAGAGCACTATAGATGTTATATTATGAAAGCACACAGAACGGTGCCCCTCAAATTAACCGGCTTTTGTATCTTTTACCGTCTTCCATAAATCGATATTTTTATGTACAAGGAACAAAAGGGCCTTAGTTTTATTGACTATGATTTCATGACACACTGAAGGAAAGAGGGAAGGAATATGTTCAGATCTTATAATTCATTCAATAGATGAACAGCTCTTCCCAGCAGGCTTGACCCACATTAAGGTTCACATGATCAAGTGCTTTTGCCAGTAGCCTTGGCCAAGGAGGACAGACTTAACCTGCAAATGTAAGAATTGGGCTTAATAGCATATTACAACACCATTAGGTACACAAAATTATGATACTGGATCCAGCTTGATTAAGAACATAAATAGCCAAATACATATCCCAATATATACAAGCTCGCACACCCACATAAAAGAGTTTTTATTTTGGCTGGGGTAGCAGGGGGGAGGGGAAAGCCATGTAATATTACGTTAACAGCAGAAAACATAGTGAATGAAGGTCACCAAGTGCATTCATTTATCTCGGTTGTAAGCTTTGTAGCACATATCATAGGTGGTTTATAGCTTCTTTTTTTTCTTTTTAATATATGATTTACGGTCATTATATAACACTATAGTAACACATGAACTCAGCATACAGGTACACTCAAACTGTTTATCTTGGAAACGAAAACCACATGGGATTTAACTTCGGCTGTTTTATTATTCACAGCATTACCAAGTGAACTGATACAAGGAAATATTTCAACATATATATATATATATATATTATAGGGTTAATCTCATTTTGCATCCCAAAAGATTATTCGAATCTCAATTTACACCGTCAAAGATCAAAAATCTCAATTTACACCCTCAAAGATAGAAATTTGTATCAATGTGCACCTCCAAATATCAAAAATCTCAATTTGCACCCTCAAAGATAGAAATTTATATCAATGTGCACCCCAAAGATAAAAAATCTCAATTTGCACCCTCAAAAATAGAAATTTGTATCAATGTGCACCTAAAATTAAATTGATAAATTATGCCTAAATCCCCTCATACTTGTCACTTAATCATTTAGACCTCTTCACATTTAGAATATTACTCCTACATCTTATGACATTTGTGCACGTATAACACGTAACCCATTTTCATTGATATCTATTAATATAACCGTTAAAAAATATAATTTTATCCTAATAAAAAATTATAATTTCATATTACCCTTTATTTTATGGGTTCAATATATTCTAAAGTTCAAAATCTAGTTTACCATTTGAATGTCTAATAAAATGTAAATATTTATATAATGTTTTTCATATTATTTTTTATATAAATATCTACATTTTATTAGACATTCAAATGGTAAGCTTGATTTTCAACTTTAGAGTATATCGAATCCACAAAATAAAAGGTAATATGAAATTATAATTTTTTATTAGGATAAAATCATATTTTTTAACAATTATATTAACAGATATCAACGAAAAGTGGTTATGTGTTACACATGCACAAACGTTATGAGATGTAAGGGGAATATTCTAAATGTGAAGGAGTTCAAATGATTAAGTGACAAACATGAGGGGATCTAAGTATAATTTATCAATTTAATTTTAAGTGCACATTGATACAAATTTCTATCTTTGAGGGTGCAAATTGAGATTTTTTATCTTTAGGGATGCACGTTGATACAAATTTCTATCTTTGAGAGTACAAATTGAGATTTTTTATCTTTGGGGGTGCAAATTGAGATTTGAACAATCTTTTAGGGTGCAAAATGAGATTAACCCTATATTATATATACACACACACATACAAGTAATGCATGACGTGCATTGCATGTAAATAATTTAAATAGTATTTTTTTGTTGAATTTATGAAAATATAAATTTTATGCGCAATTAAATTAAATGCTAAATTTGGTGATAAGTGTTTTAATAGGACATGAAAGAAAAGATGATACATTAATAAGGATATGTGGGATATTGACTTAACATTATCAAATAGGGATGAAATAGGAAATCAATTTTTTTTTACATATGCTAATATTTATGTGCAAATTGAATTGAATAAATAAATTATGTGTCGGAGAATTAATTCTTATTTTAATTTTTACTAAATTTAGTTATTAATCTATACATATATTATACATTAATTGGAGTTAGTAGAGTTACTATTGTAATTAAAGACCTAAAGCTTTAATAATAAGTAGAGGGAATAGGCTAAAGACCTAATGCAATATGATAAAAAGAATTTTGATAGGACATGGAAGAAAAAATGTTGACTTTAATGAGGATATGTGGGGTATGATTGACTTAACATTATTAAATAGGGATAAAATAGGAAATCAAAAGTTTTCATATATGTGGACATTTATAAGTAGTATAGATATATATTGATTTTTTTTTATTATAGAAGTACTTACAAAATTTATATAACATAGTATATTTTATAATATACCAGAGAGAAAATATATTAGTACATAGTCTGTCATACAGCAACCATGAAACTATTTTGCACCTTAAAGCACGTTGGAGGGTCAAGGGTCATAAATGAAATACAAAATGCACTAACTAGAGATTATTGCACTCATATCTAAAAAAAACACATGCATAGGTGTCCGAGTGATTGAAACTTTTTCATAACTCAATCCAAATTTTTCATTACCTGATAACCGGTTGATGCTGTGCCATAGATGAAGATTGAGTAGCATTGGGTAGTGGTGCCACAAGTTCAGCAGGCTTTCATATATGGGAAGGTAGAAAAAGAAAAGAAAGAAAAAAATGAATGATGTCAGAAATCATTTGACTTGACTACAACATAAGCTTTCACTTCAAACTATTATATGTACAGGAAGAGAAATAGAAGGCCAAGCAAAGTTGTAGTGACAGGCCATAAAGCAGGAACAACATGGAATACAATAGGTGTGTTGCATATCAATGAGTATTTATACATAGGGAGAATAATAAGGAATAAAATATATGAAAAAGTCACACAAGAGCAGAATCTATTGTCAAACAATTGCAGTGCTCAAATGTAACGAGTTTCAATATTTTTGCCAAGAACACCAATTATCTGATGAAGAATACAAAACTACTACCAGAAACCCTAATAAAGCATATTACATTGAACTAGTAGTAAGCCGTCAGATTTATCCTGGAAAATCAGAATTTAGTTATAAACATAAACATAGTTATCTAATCCATCTTCCATAACAAGCAAAATTTAGTTTTCATTCTTCATTTTCACTGTCTCTTTGTGGTTATCATAGCATTTCAGGATGAATTAATGTCTGTGACCTTCTAGAGTTTCAGAGAAAGACCCCATTTCTAGTTCGATCACCTAGCTAACAGCATCTCAAAGGTTGTAAACAATAAAAAAAAGCCATCTCACCAAGTCTAAAGGCCCAATTCTGAAAGTTCATAAAAATAACTAGTCTAAGATACTTGTGAGGTCAAATCAAGTGCATAGCATAAATCCATAACCATTCTCAGGACCCGAATTGGCAGTCAAGTTATGGCAAAAAGAATACAATAGATCTCCCAGAGACATCAAAGAGAGCTAGTAAAGTGTTATAGGCAAAAACAAGATCCACATGCACAATAGAAATTTACAAAGTTAGAGTGTAAACCGGACAAAGGACCAGCTCCATTGCAAGTTGTTAGAGAAAGTACGACACTTTTTGTTGTTGAGGAATCCATGGAGCTTTTTGTTGCACTCCCACCCAAAATTTTCACTTGACCATTATATTCAGTGTCATCATCAAGCTCCTCAAGTTCTTGCGGAAATGCCTGGTGTGCAACATACGGACCAGACATGATCTTCTCGATCGCAAGTTTTTCTGCTTCCTTAGAACTTGATGATGCACCATTAGCACGTAAATACACAATAGGTGTGCTGCACCTTATGGATTCATCTCTTCCACAATTATTCTGAGAAGGAAGCCCTGCTGGATCTTTGAACTTCTCAATTACTCCATTTATATTGTTTCTAACCTTTTCTATCCATGTATATTGCTACCTTTTAAACAATCTAAAGTAGAAATGCAGACAAAAGGGTCGCCATCATGACCTTCCTCACTCGAGAAACCTACACCAGCTAAATACTTTGAGCCTCCCAAGTTAGTTCCTACAATATCATCCTCATGCTTCCTCTTCCTTCCATCATCTGGTCCCTCAGGAGTAGCCTTGCCTTCAAATAATTTGCCTGTTTCAGCATGGCTAGGAACCTTAGCTTCTGAAACCTGCCTTCGCTCCCCAGCCACTTCGGTAGGACGAAGAGGCCGAACACCACCAGGAAATATAAAGGTGGGTATGCTCCTACGTTTTACATGGCTTACATGAGTCTCCATTCCAGGCTTCCACAATGTGTACATGCCGACAGAGTGCTTAAATTCCTCAACGGTCAACCTTATATCAAATTGCTCTCCTCCATTCACAGGAACTCCTTGCTTCCGCTGGAGGCCCATGAAGTAACAACAATGAAATGGTCTAGATTTGTCTGAAAAGTCACCTGGGTGTGGATGGCACTGAAGCATGCTGACAGTGTGTCTCTCAATCTAGATTTGCACATAAACAATAGATTTGAGGGGGGATGCAGTAAAAGCTACAAAAAGAAAGTGAAGCTGGAACAACACAGCATATAAAGATGAAGTGTCACCTTCAACGTAAGCTGGCGCAGGCGAGATTCCACCCAGCCTTTCTAGTTCGTCAGGTCATCAGCATTTGCTGCAATGACATCAATTTGCAAATAATTCTTGTATGCTTCAAAAAAAGGATAAGGCTCAAAAAGTTTATCCCACTCAGAATTGTTTGCTTCCATAGCCTGCAGGCATTAGCAAACAATGAATTAGGAAATATTGAGTAATGAAGAACTGATTTAAGAGAATCTTGAAAAATTTCGTAGCATTCAAGTGCTATGACTTTTTTAGGATGGGGTCCACCTCATCTCATGTAAAGAAAACCATGACTGAACTTCATAATTTTGAAGCAAATCAGGGTAAAAATTGGTTTGCTTACAGTTCACAAATGGTGCTTCTTTATATAAGGCTTCAACAGCAACCCAAGAATGAAGTACTGGCAATCAGCTCCTGTCTTAAAACAAGATAGATTGATTCACAGCAAAATATATTTTGAATTCCCAAACATTCAGATTGACTGCAAAAATCAATCACAAGTTCATAGTATGAGTGTAAGAGAGAGGAACAAAACGTGTGCCCCAAAATTAGCCAAAATTCAGAATCCAGATGTGAGAATTTTCATGATATTTTGTAATAACTGATCTAAGAAATGTTATCATCATGCTAAAAGCCTAATATGGATCCTATTAACTCACAGCCGCTGTTCAATTCAATGAATTTGTACCTACCCCAAATTACTGCCCAAAGTGCCCCACATAAAAATATCTAGCTGAACCAGGCTATGAGACTAGTCCTGAGGTCTAAGCAAACATTAAACCACAATAATCTTGTTTTGTACCTAAATGTTAATCACTTATTCCGCTTCAAACTATAACACCCTCTGTCAGATACAACATGGACAAACTAGAACTAGCATTACACGAGCAGCAGAATCCAATGATGATGAAAATCAACATGAACATGCAACCACTACATTAAAACCACATCAGGCATGCCAAAGTGGAAAAACATTACATTGGAATCATTATGGAAGTATAAAAAAATACCTATGTAGCAAATAAAAGCAGAGATGTTGCAGTAAAAACAAGTATCAACAACCAAAAAAATGGGAAAACAGCCAGGGGATAATTGTCTATTAATTGACATATGAACCTGCATTGGGACAAGAGAATTGAGATGAATAAAACCACGTTAATTAAAAAGACACAAAATCTAATCACTACAAGACGCATACCTCACAAATTTCATTTGCCCTCTGAAACTCTTCTGTCATAATCCGCAAAGTACTTGATGACACATTATAGCTAAAGTTCATGCAAGGATAAGCAGGAGTAATTATAGGCATCAAGTGGAATCTATCCTTGGGATATCTTCTAGGATCCCAAACTTGCAGTCCCAGAGATCCTTCTTCAATAGCACAAAGCATAACCGGATTTGGCCAACGCCACTGCGTATAGACCCTGAAGAACCGAGAGACCAACATGTTGGGCAGTGCATTGGGGTATAGCTGGCATATGCGAGCAACAAGCAATGCCCAATTTATACCACCTAAAAAACCTGCGACCTGACCATGACAGAAGAAGAAAAACCCCAATAATAACATATCATATGGTAATAACCACAATGTAATCCTTCCCTATTAGAAAAACCATTCCATACATTTGAATAAACGCCACGACGCTTTGCCCAAAATCTCATGCATCTTAATGTTGTGCGGAAGTTCTGCCATGGAAAATGAAAAAAAGATCAAAGATGAGCCATAATGCAGAGACTGCAAGCAGGGAACCAAATGCGAATAAGGCACAAGAAGCACTAGCCACAACCTGGATATTTGGCACCAAACACAGAATTCTGTCAGTTACTCTACAACCGTTAAGACTACGAACTGTCTGTTCATCTGCATTCTGCAATATTGAGTCTTGCGAAATGTCTAAATCCTGCACCACAATAACTAATCAGAAACAAAGTCACTGAATGCACCTTTTAGTTTTACTTTTTGTTTGTACTACCCCGCAAATGTACACAAACATAAAGCTAAATATTTTTAAGCTCAATGGCCTATAGAAGCAACACACGAAATTCGAATGAAAAATAATTTTTCAATTTTATAACAGTGAAATTCTAAAAGGAAAACGAGGTGTGCCTTAATTTTCTGCTCAATGCAAGGGGGTTTTGGTGGCAGGAACAATCCCATCCACACCATGATCATGTGAGTACCATCCCAGTCTTAACAGGGGCAGTCTAGGAAGCATGAACATCTAATTTCGGCCGGAGTGTTGGTGTCAGACACATCTAGAACACAAACATACTTCGGACACACTAAAATGTGTGCCTAGTATTTTCATTATTATTTTTTCCTGGACTAGTTGGTGTCACGCGATAGACACACTGGAGAGTGGAGACGTGTGACGGACATGTCCTTTTTTTTTGTCAAATTTCCCACAACTGGTCATATACCTTATAAATAAGGAAATAACTTTGCTAATTTCAAAGAAATAAAGGCCAAAGAAACAACATGAAAAGAATTATGATCACAACATGGATACGCAAGCAGGCATAATTTCATATACGGCCCCAAAATGCAAATAGAGTACACTATTTCAATGCAAACAAATTGTTGAAAAATAGAGTTACTTCATGCTCTTTGAAATTGAATGAAAATCAAAATTGTGAGAAAATGGTGAAACCCAACACTCCTCTGCCAGTAACTTCTTCATATTAATAAACTACAGGTGTAATATTGGAATTGCTACACTAATGCTTTGTATTTGATCTCCAATCATTTTGTGGATTTTTTGTAACTCTTCATATGATTGAAAATGTTACTATCTACTATATGATAAAATCTATAGATAAATATTTAATATTTAGTGTCTCCCCCGACTTGTACATATTCTATTTGAAAATTTATGTGTGAGTGTGCCCATTTTGTCTCGTATCCGTGTCCATGCTTCTTAAGGGGCAAAGTGGCTGCAGTTCCTACAGCTTTTCCAACTAGATGTAACCCAGTAGCTCCAAGATATTAACCAAGAATATAATAGTAGATCTGCTTTTAGATTTGTGCTCAAAGTATGACAATTCAAAGTCAAATTATCTTTGAGCACTAATCTCTTAATTATTCATCTGTGTACATAAAAAGCTATGAAAGTGAGAAAGAAACAAAGATAACGGACCTAAAAAATAAAGTATGGTTGAGAAAGCACGAAATGCAAAACAAGAGGCTGCAGACATAAAACCAGCACTTACTTCAGGAACTACCCAAAGTGAGAGTTTTGCATAAAGGAGGTCTATGGAAATCCCACTGTATTGAATTTCATCACCGGAACATGAGCATCAGGAACAGGATGCATCTCTGTTACTTCAGGCATTTCTGATAGCATTTTATGCAGCTCACCAAAGAAATCTTCCTGCCAATAAGAAAAGCATTCATAAGTCCATGCAACAAACTTGAGAGCTAAATAACAAATTGTGCACCACGGTCAGGCTAGAGCTGATCCCACATCTCGTGTTGCATGTCTAGGTCCCACACAGAGTGTATCAATATCTGCACCCGGACCATGCACCTAGTTAAAGAATAAGACAGAGATACATAAGATAAAGCCCAAACGTATTACATGCCAAATCCATTTATCGCATCCACCCTCACCCCCGGCTCTGGTAAAATTCCCAAGTGGATCAATAATGGCAATTTAAGTAAAAAGAAATGCAGGAAATACCAGATTATTTTAAGAGGGATGACTGGCAGCTTAAAAAATTCTGAAATCTTAGGGTTTTAAATATGCTTAGTAAGTACTTAACAAAAAATATGTTTTAGCAGAGCACATTGCTAGATTTGGTTTTAAAATTAAATTAACAGCTTTGATTGCTTTGGGTTTTTGTTATTTTAATTTCTTAGGCTTGAAGTACTGAATTGAGCAGGTTAAATCGCCTTTTAGTAAATACATATAAAATGATACCCTAGAATACTCCATTTACAGTATTTTATGAGTGTGGGATGAACGAACCGAGGCTAGTTCTACATTTCTCAACTGGACTAACCAGTGTTGCTGATTCAAGGATCATGACTTCACATAATGGCTGGTAGAATTACCATCGTGGACCATAGAGCTATGTTGGCTTCATCACTGTTATTTACAAACATGTAGGTATCATGTTGGTCTTTACACAATATCCACCATTAAAGTCAGTTATGGTCCTGTTACAGATGATATAGCCATACATCCACTCATAATATTTTGTGAAAAGCATTCCAACACCTCGAATTCTTTTTAGTCGCCTATTTTCTGGTTGAAGGACTGAGAATGCCATTTCTAAACTAATTTTATACTTCTTGGTGTAAAAATAAGCACGATACAGAATTCGACTCTAGATCTAAAAGTTTCAGACAATTTGATTATGCTTATGTTTTCTTATTATTTAGCACAATCCTAATAATAAAAAAGGTAAAAATGACAAGAAAGTATCATTCTTAATTACATCACCTTAAGAACCATTGCAAAATGTAGCACTCACAAGATAACATCAGTTAATGTTTCTACCATTCAAGAAAAAACCACTAAAAATTATATCAACATTGAAAATCAGCATTAAAACATTTGCACCAAACAGTTTCTAAGTGTTTGCCACTAAATGGGGAAAAGAAGGCTTACAAATTATAAGCAAATTCCTGTTACATACTCATCGAGATATTTACATGGCTAGCAATGGAGCCAATTACTGTTTTTCCCCTGCTACGCATGCCCAAGAAGCTTGAGATTGAAGGAGGCATCATACACTCATGTTATACTCATGAAAAAACCAATAATAGTAATTTTCTTATGCATTTCTCTCTCTCCATCTTTTTCTTTAAACTTAAGCCACAAGTATACGACGAAGAAGAACTGTATACAAAGAAACCATTTTTTTTTTTGAAAGGAAGCATAAGAAGATCCTCATACCCCTAGCCGATAAGAACCAAAAGTGAAAATCTTTGCATTCGCTTCTTGTACCAGCTGCTCATTTAACCCCTTGGCGCGGCTTATGGTTTTCACCCATACATTCACAATCAGTTCAATTTTGCAACATCCAAAGCAACATTAAATCGCAACCAAAATACTGCAAGACACAGGAAAATTAAGATCAACAAAGCAATTCAACCTGGTCTAGCCTCCCAAGTACTTCCTCCCTACTAATAGCTTCCTCCTGACTTTCATATAGACCTACATCTGCCAAGAACTGAACACCCACATTCACAGTTTAGAATATTCTCAAATTAAGATGCCTAACTGATGAACATATCTACAATTGGAATTCAACAAAACCTTTTCAAGCCCTCGTGTCTTGATTACATCATATTCAGTTGGTCCACCCAATGAAATTGGTTCTGTAATGCCTAACCGCTGCCCGTTATTCTGATTGTTAAATCCAGGACTAGCCATTTATATTTTACGAGTAGCCCAGTAATATGATTCTGCTATACACAAATTTATTGATAACACACAAAACCAGCAGAAAACCAGGAAATACACAAAATAGAATAACCAAAGAAAGGAAACATCAGACTGAACTTCCTTGTAGCTTTACAGTACTGGGTAAGGAAGTTCAGTGAAACTGAGCCCCGAATTACAGGCTGCTTCAAAAATTACAGCAAAAAAAAAAAAGAAAATGAAAATTTGAAATTATGAACAGAGAACTGAAATACCCATACAACTTCAATTGATCTTTTATTTTCTATATTTTGGACTATGGAACAAACCCTAACCGTAGACATTGAACAAAGACGATACAACAATACACAATAAATTAATCCCCAATTCAGAGATTAACCCATCTCTAGAAATTAAAAATTCTTCTCCTTTTTGAGCTCTTCGTTGTAGCTGCTCAGCCATTGTGATTAATTAAGCATCAAAGCTTGAAATAAATCAAAAAAACCTGTAAAGCAACCATACAGAGTTAATATGTGAATACGCATACATATATTCATACACATATAATAACATGTGAGAGAGAGACAGAGAGAGTGCTTACAGACGAGAAAACAGAGATGGGGATGGAAGATTTTGATTCTGTTATTTGATCGTTTTCTGGTGTTTCTTTATATGATTAATTGCATCGGCGGTCCTTATGAGATTTATGTCATTTTTAGTGTTCGATATTTTAAATGTATTATTTTGATTTTTAAAATATTTATTATATTTTTATGTGGTCTTCAAGCAAATAACATTTAAATTACTAAGGTGTACGAATGATGAAAAATAGAAAGGAAGGAAAAGTACAAGGAATAAATTTTCCATCCATTAAGGAAAAAAATGTATTTTTCCTCTATTTTGCTTAGCAGGAGAGATGAAAAATATAAAGAATATATTTTTCATCGTTTAGTATTAGATAAAAAATAAAAGGAAAGGAAAATAATACATACCTAATTTTACAATTCTACCCTTTAAATATATGAAGTTATTTTGTGTGTTAGTAAAAAAAAAATAGCAAAAGCAAATTAATCTACATGAAATTTTCTTACAAAAAGTCACCAATTACATTTTTTTTTTTGGAGAATCTCGATGGTGCGAGTAGATTTTATTGATTAAAAAATTAAATTACATCTAGCTAAGGGGACGTATGTACTTTAACCCTTGATGCAATTTAATTACAATAATGAAAATAAAATTCTAATGCATGATAATTACATGGAATTAAATTAAGTAAAAATCTAAAAGCTTAATTCCTAAAATTCTCCAAAGGTATAGACACCTATATACTTGAAGCTGTTCGAAGGCGTTTGAATCTAAGTGGTGATAGACTCTTAGCAAAAGTCATCGATCAGTTGAATAAAATGATCGAATTCCAGCAATTTAAACGAATCCATATGAAGCAAGAGTTTAGTTGAAAAGAGTCCATCAAAATACAAAAAAAGAAGAGATCAGCTAAAAGAAATCCAACTGCAGCAGCAACTAAATAGGCATGTGAACAGTGCACTTCAGACTAAAAGCAGCCTACAGATAGCTAGAACTCCACCACAGCTGCATTAAAAAAAACTTTGCTGCCTAGATCTCCAAGCTAGAACAAATTGTTGAAAACCTCAGTTGCAACCCAGCTAAAACAATCCAAATGACGTGAAAAGTGACTCATCCACATCAAAAAAGACTCCTAGCTGGAAAAGAATCACAAAATTCCAATTTGAATTAGCAGCTAAAGGAGACAAAAATAAGCTGATAGAGTGATGAAATCCCAAGCATGAACTAAAAGAAACCATGAAATTTGTGATATATATATATATATATATNCTTGCCGGAGGATGACAACTTTGGTCTGAAGTAGCCAAAAATCTAGTCCGAAAATCGTTGATCGAGTTCGTCATCTGGTTGCTGTTGTCTGAGAAGGGTCTGTCATTGGCCATGGAGAAGAAGTGGGTTTTGTTTGATGTATTTAGAAGTGGGTTTTATTAGAAGGTAACAAAGGGTAAAATAGTAAAATTATCATTTAAAGGTCAAATTTTGTTGTCTTGTTCTCCTTTTCCACCCATNTTTTGAGTTTTAGCGAAGGGTAAAATAGTAAAATTATCATTCAAATGTCAAATTTTGTTGGCTTCTTCTCATTTTTCGCCCATTTTTGGGAGGAAAATAAATTGTGGGCGGGAAGGAAAAGCCTTCCCTCCAATTTTCCTTTCCATCACTCTTTCTTTTCATACCAAACAATGTAAAGTTTTTTCATCCATCCCATTTTCCTTCCACCATTTTTCGTCCACCCTATTTTCCATCAAAACAAAGAGACTATAATAGTTTTTTATTATAAACTTGTCACATAATACTTAAATATAAGTAAATAAATAATTTAAATAACTCTTAACTAAATTTCTATCCAAATTTTAGTCAAAGAACTATCTAAATTATATAGTTGTGATCATAAGTTATCCAAATGTCAATCAAGAGCTACCCATATTTATCCAAATTTTGGTCAAGAACTAGCCAAATTATTTTTTACTCATATTTAAGTATTAAGTGATAAATTTATGATAAAAAAATCTTTAATAATTTAGATATTATCAACTTGAGAGATTACGTAAAAACATATTCAATACTTTAAGGACCAAAATGATACAATTAAAATATTATAAATCAAATTGAGATAAATCTCATACTTTAGAAACTTATTGTAATTAACCCTTCTTTGTATCTCCTCTGTGTATCGGTAAATTACATTTAAATCCTAGCAGTTCGTCACTTAATCATTGAATAAAATAAATGGACACCCCTGATATTTGATTTTATTATACTGACATCCCTATGTTTTTTAAAAGGACACTAAGAACCCTTAATATTTTGTACTTTTGACAATTAGACTCCCTTTGTGTAACATACGTTAATAAAACAAATGACAAATTAAATCTAATGCCGATAATCAGGGGTGTCAACTCTGACATGTTAATACGAATTCAACACGAACGATTATAAAATTGACACGATTATTAAATAAAAATAACAAATAATTTAGAATAATGTTTAATAGTTTTTTTCATAGGTCTTAACACAAACACAACACGAATAACAATGACATGACACGTGGGTCACACGAACACGACACAATTGACACCCATACCCATAATACCCCTTAGGAGGTAAGTTTAATACGAGTAAATATTGAGTGTAACGGTTACACCATGTCAGCAATGCTGTTGTGGTGTAATCATCTAATAAAAAAATATAAAATGGAGCTTACTTTTTATCATAAAGGTGGTTATGCATTATATAGTTGGGTGGTTATAAATTTTTGTATGGCTCACTTTTAAACTTATTTACTTATTAATAAAAAGTTACATTCAATATTTTTTCAATTAACACAAGAAATTGTATCAACCCCCGACAAAGATAATTATACCTTCCACCAAAATTTGAACATAACTTCTCCTGCCATATTTTTCCTCCCTAACTTCTCTATATTCATTTAGTACAAAAAAAATCTTGACCAAAAAAAAAATTTAATATAAAAAAACATTTTTGTGGTAATTCTACAAATTTTTCCGATATCGTACCTCCAATTACTAACTTTTGGAGTAAAGGTTAATTCTTTGGTATCAAGTCATGACTTTTTTAAGTGGTTAGGATTTGTAAGATTCTATATTTCATATTTCATATAAATAATATTGATTTTCTAATATTTTAAAAATGGTGAAAGAAACTTAAAATCATTGTTAAAAGAATAGTTGCGTAAGTTTGAGTTTTGATCATATTAACTTTTGGGTTAATTTTAATTCTTAAGGTGTTTAAATTTCATAAGGATAATTAGATAATTTATTAATTTTTTAAGGTCAAAATAATATTACAATTAAATCCAGGAGGTCAAAAAATATTGGGATAGAAGTTAACCTCATACAATGGTTCGAATGGATTAAATGATAATTTTGGTATTTTTAGTGTAAATTGACTTTGATTTTGAAATAAATCCGGAACGTTGAAAAACCTTAGGATAGTCATGAGGATTAAATTGGAGATGTTTAGGGGTAAAACCGTTATTTCAAAGAAAAATATATTGTTTGGCCTTGTGAATAGTAAAAGTCAGGAATTTCTGGGTATAAAACCCCATTTTCAACCCATTTCATCTATTATTTCTCACCATTCTCACTCAATACCACTCTTAGAATCCTATGACAAGATAAAGGGAAATAGAAGAGGGAAGAAGAAGCTCATTAGACCTTGGGCTTTTGCTTGGAAAATTTAGGAACACTACTTAAGATTCTTGGTTTTACTTGGAGATTTGAAGGTGGAGCTTGACTTCTTGAGTTTTGAGGTAGGATTCTCCTTTCTCTTGCATATACATAGATACATCTTATATATGTTATATCTATTTTGTCTCTTAAGAATGAGTATGTTAGTTTGTAAATGTGTATTTGGAGTTTTATATCTATCATGTGTTTGATAAAATGCCAAAGTGACTATAAATATTGAAATGGTGAATTGTGGAAAGAGGTATTGATTCTTATGATATGATTGAGTATATTTTACAATAATTTTGGATATTGTTAAGCTATTCTAAAGTTATGAAAAAGGTGGTGTTAATATACATAACTTCTCAATTGTTTAATTTGCGAATGTTGTTATAAAATTGTAAAAATTGTATTTTGTGTGTGTGTAAGAGAGTTATTTTGAAAATGTGTTATGATGGAAATATAAATGTGAGATTATGGAAAACTATGTATTTTTAAAAAAGTGTCGAAGTTGTAGTTGGTATTGAAAATGGAAGGTGACATAAATTATGGTTTGAAACTTGTATGATTGATACCGACATGCAAAGGGTTAGTAGACGGTTGGAGCCTTTGAGGGGAGTTGTCAAGGCTGCTACTAGTCTTAGGGGGATTGGTGATAGTATTGGTTTTTGATGATAGTCTGTGTGACATCACAAGGTATGCTCTACACATCCCCCAAAGATGTGTAGGACAATGAGACCC